AGTGAGACTCCAACTAAAAAAAAAAAAAAAATCAAAAAATTAATGGGTGTGGTGTCATGTGCCTATAGTCCCAGCTACTCAGGAGGCTAAGGCAGAAGGATGGCCCTGAGCCCAGGAGGTTGAGGAGGCAGTGAGGGGGAAAAAGAAAAGAAGAGACCCCTCCCTAAGTTCTACTGAAATCTACATGCCTGCAATTTCCATCCCACCAGCCCTCTGGAGCATCTGAAAATACTCCTAGGCCGGGCGCTGTGGCTCAAGCCTGTCATCCCAGCACTTCGGGAAACTAAGGCGAGAGGACCTCATCTCTACAATAAATCAAAAAATCAGCCGGGTGTGATGGTGTATGCCTGTAGTTCCAGCTACTTGGAAGGCTGAGACAGAAAGATCACCTGAACCCAACGACTCAAAAAAAGAAAATACGCCTAAGGCCTCATCACCTGCTTGTGAGTGCTCCTCTTCGACATCCGCTCAGTGCTCCAGGGTCACCAGAATCCCTTGGCTAACCTCAGTGTGGCGGGCTCCGCACGTGGGAAGCCCTTGCCTCCGCCTCCCTTGAGATTTCCTCCCTGTGAAAAGCACCCAGGGCCTCCAAACCCACCTCCCAGGGATGGGGCTCCACAAGGAGCCTTTGTGAGGGGTGTCAGGAAGTCTTATGGCTTAATTCCCCCTGGAGGGGAGCTGTGTTTGGGCAAAGGCCTTGACATGGGGCTAGGTGAAAGGCAAAAGCAAGACGGAACTAACAGACCAGCTGACTCTTGAGCATCCAAAGCAGAGCTTCAGTACTCTGCTTTAGAAATAGATGGGGGCCAGGCACGGTGGCTCAGCCTGTAAACCCAGCACTTTGGGAGGCCGAGGCGAGAGGACTGCCTGAGCCTGAGGGTTCGAGACCAGCCTGGGCAACTTGGTGAGACCTCATCTCTACAATAAATTACAAAAACTAGCCAGACTTGGTGGCTTGGAAGGCTAAGGCAGAAGGATCACCTAAATCCAGCAGGTGGAGGTTGCGGTGGCCGTGAGAGTGCGGCTGTATGCCAGCCAGGGCGACAAGAGTGAGACGCTAACTCAAAAAAAAAAAAAAAAAATGGGTGGGAATTTGGAGGCTCAGAGAAGGGTGGTGCAGGCAAGGACAACACTGGAGGGCAAGCAGCAGAGGTTGGGGCCAAGACAGGGAAAAGCCAAGGGACCTTGAAGAAGAGAACATCATTGCAGCATTAGGCACAATAGCAAAAACATGGAACCAACCATGCTGCCCATCGAAAGTAGACTAGATAAAGAACATGTGTGATACATTTGCACAATGGAATATTATGCAGCCATAAAGTAAAACAAAATCATGAACTGTGAAGCAACTTGGATAGAATTAGAGCCTATAATACTCAGTAATCTATCCCAGAAACAAAGATCTTAGTATCGCATGTTATCACTCATAAGCAAACCCTGAACATTTATCATAATACTGTAAGAAAGGGACTGGCAGTCATGGGACACTGCCAGGGGAGGATGGGGGCACAGTATCAAGAAGGGCACCCAAACTTTACCTGTACGATGACAACTTATGTAGCTAACCCTGAATCGTACCCCACTTTTTTTGAGCTGGAGTCTCACTACTTCACTCAGGTTGGGGTGCAGTGGCAGGCACGCTCACAGTCACTCCAGCGTCGACCTGCTGGGCTCCGGCGATCCTTCTGCCTCAGCCTTCCGAGTAGCCAGAACCACAGATGCGCGCTACCATGCCCAGCTAATTTTTTTTTAATTTATTGTAGAGACGAGGTCTCGCCAAGTTGCCCAGGCTGATCTCGAACCCACAAGCTCAGGCAATCCACTCGCCTCGGCCTCCCAAAGTGCTAGCCACCAAGCCCGGCCTTACCCCACATCTTTAAAATAAAAAATAAAAGAAGGCCGGGCTCGGTGACTCAGCCTGTAATCCCAGCACTTTGGGAGGCTGAGGCAAGTGGATTGCCTGAGCCCGTGGGTTCGAGACCAGCCTGGGAAACTTGGCAAGACCTCGTCTCTACCATAAATCAAAAATTAGCCAGGCGTGGTAGCACGCCTGTGGTTCCGGCTACTTGGAAGGCTGAGGCGGAAAGATCGCCGGAGCCTAGCGGGTAAAGGCTGTGGTGGCTGGGAGTATGCCACTGCACTCCAGTCTAGGCGACAGAGTGAGACTCCATCTCAAAGAAAAAAAAAAGAACAGAACATGAAAGAGAGAATTTTATGATTTTTACACTGTTTTCCCATGTGATATAAGTCCCCTCCCTCTCTCATTTTGGAAAGCCATCCCACACCACAAGCCTAGCATGGATGGAGTCCCCGAGGAGAAGTACCACGTTTGAGGTGGAAACAAAGGACTGCTTGCAAAATGTCAAGAGGATGGCAAAAGTTGAGCAGAAGCTGAAAGTAAGGGCCAGCAGTGACCACAGAATTTAAGTTCTTCCTCCCGAAATTTTGGGGAAGGTGTTGGACCTGGCACAGAGCCACCAAGGCGGGGCTGGGGCTGGCCTCGCTACAGCCAAAGGGGCCAGGAGACCTGGTCCTGGCTGAGAACTCTGTACCAGGAAGGTTGAGGTGAAAGGATCGCCTGAGTCCTGCAGGTCAAGGCTGCCAGTGGCCATGATTGTGCCACTGCACTCCAGTCTGGCCAACAGAGAGTCCTACTCAAAAAAAAATAAACTAATAATAATAATAATAACGTTTAAATGTAGATCCTGAAGTGTATCCCTCTCAAATGTCATTGTCAGATTCAGCCCTTTTCCCAATTGTGCAGAGATAATTTTGTAAATCCTGCTACGCTTCAGCACTCTCTCTCTCAGCAAGTTGCTGCCTACCAACTTGTTATGTAAGACTGCGAAGCCTTTATTTAAGCCCTTGGTTAAAGCATTCGTCAGGGCAGAGCCCTACAGCACATCAAGAGAGACCCTCCCCCGGGTGACTTTGCTCAGCAGGTCCTTATCCATCCACCCAATTATCTGTTCTACAGTCCGTAGCTCTCGCTGTCCACACGGCATCATGAGGGACTGAAATGGCCTTCTGGGGACTGAAAGGTCCTGGACTGTGGAATCCACTCTATCGCTGTACAAGAGAAGAACGGAGTCAGTGCCCCTGAAGACTGCCACTCCCAGCCTGAGTGGCTGCACCTTCACAGCAGTTGCACGACCCCAGCCACCAGCTCCCAGGCCTAGGGAGATCCCCAGGGCCCTTCCCAAGCCTGAGGCAGACAGACACACAGATGTGCCCCTGTGAGGGCCCTACCGCATCCTGCGCGTCCACAGCAGCCTCGTGTTCCAGGAGCAGCCGCACAGCCAGCTCGTGCCCTGCGCCCGCAGCCCAGTGCAGGGCTGCCCTGCCCACCTGCAGGGGGTGGGGAAGCCAGTCAGGTGATGCCGCCTGATAGCCTGGCCCACCGCCTGCGTCCTCCCCAGGACAGATGGACTGCAGGTTGGAGGGGCCTTTGCCGGCTCTGATGACCAGCAGGCTGGTGGCCCAGCCCACTCTGGTCCCCTGCTCCTACCCCCACACAGCAGCAGCCAGCGTGAAGGCAGCACAACACAATGGGTTCCCATCTCAAACTTGGCAGGGCTTCCTGCGGCTCTTGGGACAAACTCTCCACCCCAGGGACTAGGACGCCCTGTATGGCCTGGCACTGCCCTCCCCTACTTCTCAGAAATGCCCAACAACTTCCCGCCTCTAAGCCTCCGTTCCTACTGTTCCCCTTGCTGGGCAACCACATGTGGCCTAGAATTCTTCTCCAAGTTCCCGAAGGGTCTCTGAGCGCCTGGGGTCTGTCCCTTCCTTCTCGCAGAACAGGAGGCCTGCAGGAGCCTGACTCCTGGCTCATCCTCAGACCACTCTAGCAGTCCATCCTGTCTCTGGCCCACAGCAGCTCTGAGCAAGCCAGAGGGAAGCCCGCCTCCAACCCAGGAGTCCCCATCTTCCCTCTGGAGTTTTCAGCTTCTAAAGGGACAAGGAGAGGAAACCCTGACTCTCATCTCAGGCAAGCCACACCCCTCCCTGGAGAGCAGTTCTTCTCGCCTTCCTCAGGGCTTCCAGCCATGCTGTTCCCTTCGCCCACCACACTGTCCCACTTCACCCGGCGCCTCAAAAATGCCACTTCCTTTGGATGTTTTTCCTGATGCCTCTGGATGAGACAAACCCCTTCCAACCCTCCTCCACATACTCTCAGGACAGCTTGTCACAGCGGGAGTGAATCGTGTGTGACAAGCTCTGCCTCATGTCTGTCCTCCTCGTCTGCCATCTGCCGGCCTCTGGCGGCTGACCTTTGATCCCTGCCCTCCTGGCTCTAACCTTTGCTCCTTGAGTGTACCTTTGAGATGGGCTTGACCGCTGGCACTGCCCAAGCCTGGCCTGGAGTCCTGACTCTGGCCTCCGGTGAAGCCCCACCCCCTCCAAGTCTCAGCAACCTCAAGCCGGTGCAAATAATGAGGACAGAGCCCGAGCCTTCCTCCAGACTGGTGCATGCAAAGGTAGCTGCCTCCAGCTCCATGAGCCGTTCTCGCTGGGTGGTGGCACTACTATGACACCATCCCGGGTGCCACGGATCTGGAGGGCCCATGACGCACGTGGTTTCTGGCCCCAACGTTCACCCTCCTCCGGATCAGCTCCCGCATCCTCCCGATGTCGTTCCGGCGAGCGGCCTCGTGCAGCTGTTTCTCCAAAGGAAGCACTAGGGGCAGGAGGGGGTGCAGGGTGAGGGCACCACGGAGAGGAGAGGGGAACAGCCCTCCCCACCCCAAACATCTCCGGGGCAGAGGGGTCTCCCGGCTGGGAAGGGGGAGGGCAGCCTGGCTCTACTTCCTCTCGAGGTCAGGGGCCTCCACAGACAGGCTGCTCTTCCTTCTGAACTCACCCCGCAGTCGCATACCCGGGACTTGGTGAGACCCCAGAGACGAGAGACCACTGGCAAGGCCCCCCCAGCTGCCCAAGTGTGTGCCTTCCCCCCCTTCAGAGGCATCACCCAGCTTTCGTGTCCCCTCCCTTAGAATTGCTCTTGGGGAAGGGAATGGAATTCATTCCCACTGGAGTCAGTAACTATCTTTTCTTTTTTATTTTTTTGAGTGGGAGCTTCACGCTGTCGCCCAGGCTGGGGTGCAGTGGCACACTCATGGCCACCGCAGCCTCGACCTGCTGGACTCAAGTGTTCCTTCCGCCTCAGCCTTCCAAGTAGCTGGAACTACAGGTGTGTGCCACCTCACCCGGCTAATTTTTTTAGTTATTGTAGAGACGAGGTCTCGCCATGTTGCCCAGGCTGGTCTCAAACCCATGGGCTCAGGTCATCCTCTCACTACCACCTTCCAAAGTGCTGGGATGGCAGATATGAGCCACCACGCCCAGCTTGTAAGGACCTTTTCTTTTTCTTTTTTTTTTTTTTAGTTGGAGTCTCACTCTGTCGCCCAGACTGGAGT